CTACTACTTTACCAGAATTAGGAGAATATTTTTTATAAAAAATTCAGTTCCCTATAGGCAGTACGAAATGCCTTTGAAGAATTTGTTGCCTCCGATCCAGCCGATTTCTTTAAAAAAGGCAATAAACTGCCACTTCGTTGGCAAAGATGCATTGATTGCATGAGTGATTACTTCGATTAATACAAATAAAAAACACATGAAGAAAATTCACACAAAACGGCAATTTCATAGGGAAAGACCTATAATTCAAGATCGTATATTACCTCAAGGCAACTTCTCTTTCTGACGATCATTGCTAATTTTTGATACCCATTTTATTATCAATCCTTTCCTATGTAGGTACTAGTGTCATGGTGTAATATCGTGGTGACCCGGAGGTTTAAGACGCCCGCTTCTCATGCATGAGGGTGCGGGTTCGAAAACTACCAACGATAAGTACCAATGTGACTTTTTCCGAATTATATGTACTTTCTAAGATTATTCAGACACCACTGACAAACGGTGAAGGTCAACATCGTGAAGAAACCTGGGCTTATAATTCCTAATTATAAGTTTGTAATCGCCAACCCGCATTGAGCAAGCGTGGTGATTAATGCTCAAACCTTCTCCGTGTGAGAAGAGGCTTTGCTCAGCAGTGGGCATTTATAGGCTGTTGATGTAGGTACTAGGTAAGGTACACATTTCAAAACAACTTTCCAATTCTGTCCGAATAACTGAAACTCTTGTACAATAGATTTTACGTTATTTTCACCAGTAAGTCATTGAGTTATTCTATTCTCGAGGCTTGAAAGGAAAACTTTGGGTACAAACAAAAATAAAATAAATCTTACTATCCATGTTAATAGCATTGGTTTCATCATAGTCAGACAGTTGAAGCTTAATACTGGAGTAGGTCTCCCGGCGCTTCTGGTTGCGCAGGTAGTTGTCCACCATCGGAGAGAAGTACTGGTTGGACTGGTTCATGTACCGCTGCCGGTACGTCAAGGCCTGCAGCAGCAGCTGTGCTGAACGGATCAAGTCCTCCAGCGGCACCTACGTACGAAAAGTATCCCTATTTTATGACCAAAGTTTTCTTAGATGGCACTGGGACAATTGTTTAGGTACCTATTAAATGAAGTTAGAATCTTCGTCATTTCTAGTTAGTAAGAAATGCATACCTAGTAGACATATTTTTAAAGTCCTGTCAATGGGAATCATCATGAATAACTTCCTTACCCCAGTGACGTGTATCCCACTGACGGAGACGCGTTGGAAGCGCACCTCATCCGCATTGGTGCTGTCCCCGGGCGGTCGCACGTGTGTGCGTGCGCAGTTGCGGGTGGCCGTTCTACCCATCTCCTTCATATCGGGAGTCGAGGGGCCCGTCAGATCTCTGACAATATGACACGTTATTACAGACTAAATAAACTGCTCTGTTGGTCTTGTGTACTGAAAAGGAATTACCCTACATGCATACCAAACAGATTTCTAACTTTGAACTTTCTACATTTCTTGTATTACATATGAGTATGATACCACGAAAAAGTTAACTCGTCTGCTCTCAGTCCATATTTCCAACATTCTCAACGAAGACTACATTTTTAAAAACCCTTATTAGCCACTATAACACTAAATTGCGAACTTTCAGTCCAAGAACCTTCTAGAAATTCAAAGAGGGAACTTATCAAGGTTACTTGGGAAGACGTGGCTTGGTCCATTTCTTGTACTCCTTGTGTGGGCCCTGGATAGTAGCTCTGGCAGCTTTGGACGTACTGGCATGCACACTGGGCCTGCTAAGGGCTGATGGTCGTTTAAACATCCTTGATTTTTTTATTTATTTCTACAACACAAAAGATTTATCCCATTTTCGCGGCACTTGTCAGATCTGATTTTGTCAAATCTCAATACATTGGATACATTTTGTCATCATTTTGTTGCCGTTTTGCTCATTTTTTGACAGATAGTTGTTTTTTTTTTTCATTCATACATTTATTTACAAGGAGGTTTGTTTCCTTATAGACTCCACGGACGGAGTGCCCTGTGGCGTGGTGTGTATTGTAACTTATCTATAAGCATTATATTTTACTCAATAAATGTTTGCCAATATAAAGTGTGCAATCTTATTTTAATAAACAGTATTTACTCAGCAGCCGTGTCGTATCCAACGCAATACCTACAGCCACAGAAATATTAAAATCTTCTTTATTATATCTATGCCTATAGTCCTATCACTCATTCTCATTCTCGTCTATCTGTATGTATAATTCGTTTGCGACAAGTGTGGATTACCTATATCTTTATTTTGTCATTCACACCATCATTTAACCACAAGAAGTCCATCGCTGAATTCAGGCTTCGCCCCTAATGACTTTATCATTTGTGGCATTTATGGCGATGCCTACTTCTCTACTAGGACTGGGTAGTCTGCTAACTTTGAAGGAACTCTTTTTCTGTACTTACTCTTATATAAGAAGAAAGCATTATTGCATTGCTTCAGGGAAAGCATAATTATCTAAGCTAAATAAAACAACAAAATCTTTTACAACATTTTTATTAAATAGGTATGTAATTGAATTGATTAGATAGTATTCTAAAATATATACTTAGGTACACATTATTAAACAATAGGTACTTTTTGAATTAGGTCACTCTTACAAATTACGCTGTTTACCCAATGTACCCGACCCTATATTTTATGTAGCTGACATTTTGTAACTAGAATAATTCGATGATTTACAAAACTTAAACACGAGTAGGTACATACATAAGAAAACGATCAAAATAGTTTACATAAAAATGCAGTTAACATAACATTCTTATTAAAATAAAGTAAAAAGTACAACGTTATCCAAGTATGGTTCTACAGCAGGTTAGGTGTTAACCTTCGTATCTTTACTTAGATATACTATATAGCCTGTCAGTATTTATGCAGGTCAGAATCAGTGGTGTATCTACAAGCTGGCAAGTCAGCAAAATGCCACGAGCGCCCAGCTGCAAGGGTCCCTCGTTCAGAGGTTTTCATCAGTTTTTTATTTACTTTATTGGGAACCGAGGCCCATCCGATGAAATTGCCACGGGCCCCGAAGGGTGTAGTTACGCCACTGACCATAATCTAACACTTCGAATATACAGTAAAGAAAAAACTGCCTCCGATTATAAAAAAATCACAACATTTGGTCATACATAAGTAGACTCTAAACTTCGGAAATAAGGTCTATAATGGAGTAAGTGGAGAGCGGTCACCGGTGATTACTTGGGACTGGGCAGTTTGAAAATAAAGTTGGGGAAATCTTTAACACATTGTGTGATATGGGGCACAACGTATAGGCCCCAGTTGTCTGTCAGAATTCAAAGCCCTATTTAGGTAGAATAATTTGTGCAAAATTAAAGTATTTGAGGTAGATATTGCAAACAATTTCAATTAATAAACAATTTTAGGGATATAGAGTTGATAAATTTATTTATATTCATGGATAATCTACACAAGTGACGGTCGTTTAAGGCTGACTATAGGAGCTGCGAAGTTGGGGATTGCTGGAGACACGCCACCGTTGGCTCCATTCGTCGTCAGTGGTGCTTCGGGCAGGGCAAAGCGACTCTGTAAAACAGTAACCACAACCAAAACAGGTATGAATTAGACACAATCATTACGCTTCGTGACAACGTCTTATGATTGAGATGATCCAAGGGGATTATGTACATACATACGTATCATTCAATGATGTAGGTAAATCATGATGTTTTAATTAAATACTTACCACGTAATTATATAACCCGAAAGTAGAACATTAAAAAATGGTCTTTATAAAGTTTATTTTATAAAGATTAACAAATTAGACACAATTACAAGTAAACACACCACACAATAAAGCGGGAAATATTTGGACCACAGATTATACAATGTATCTTCAGGAGTTTCGTCTCAGGGAAACCATCAAGGAGATTGGAGATAAGAAGTACTCTCTGGTCTCTGTATATAAAGTGTCCATTAAAATGCGTTAATAGGTATTCCTGTGAGCACCTGATGACGACAACGTTTTCCATATGCCTCTGGACTTTATATGAACTAAATGTGCCTAAACTAAATTATAAAAGCTATAAATAGTTTTAATAAGTTGCACCTAGGAGTTAAATTGTTAAAAGAAGTATCTAGGTAGGTAATTAAAGTTATCTAGAGTCCTTTTGCTACAGTAGCGCCACCTAATGAAGGCAGTAAAATGAACACTTTTCCTTAAGATCGTACTCCTGATCTCTTGACCCCTGGGAAACTGTGGCAGAAAGACACAGATGATGAAGTTACCATCACACCACACACCACACCGTGTACCTTAGAAGAAGAGGGGTGTGCCACACTGCTTTAGCTACAGACAAACATTTTATTGGTTAACAATATCACTGTCATATTGGGCGTAAAATGCATTAAAATCTACAGGAGTATCCATTTTTAGTGTATCATGGCAAGGTTGAAGTAACCCAATAGTTACAGTGTAATATGATTTTATGTAAAATCTAGCGATTCTTTTAGATAATGTCTCCTCCCTTTTTGAAGTCGATTTCGTTTTCGTTCTTTGTTGTGTTTCTTCATTTACTTAAGTGTCATCTTATTTGTATTTTGTTATTTAAGTAGTTGTTCGTTTTTACAGTTGGTACTTTGATTATAGTGTTTAACGAGAGCAAACCATATTAAACTACAACACAATGGTTCTATGCAATCATCAATGAAATTCGTTCTAAAATAGCACTGCTATCTATCAATGGTGAATGATTGTTTTGTAAGTAATAAGAAAACGAATTCAATATGATTTTCTTTATTTCCAACAATGATAACATGTATATTTTATAATCATGATTTATAAACATTGGTACCTATATATAAACACAATTTTACAAGTCGTGTTAAGTACGACACTACATTATTCCGTGCAGATGCTATGCGGTTATGATATTTTGGGACATTTGTTGTTGAGGTAGAATGGAATGGTAAAACTTGAAGATTGTATTAAAAACACTATTTCATCTTCAGGTATAAATGATTAAAATTTATTCTGCATTAACGTTAATAATCTTGGTTTAAAAAACATCACACAAAAGGTACAGACACAATCGCATACCATTTGGACAGAAGCACAAAAATGCGTTAGATATTATTAATGAAACTGCTTTCAAGCCACAATCCCATAATCGAACTAGATTAGTTACACCCTACGGCTTCCTTGCGCAAGTAACTGACGAGGTAACTCGACCAGTTTCAAGCCACATTGAGAGCACATAATTATGAACAGCACTGTGTAACGTTAACGTCGTCTTGTGTAATAATTTTTTGTTTCACAAGAGTTATAACACAAAAAGACACAAATACCTTGATAAAGTTCAAAAAAATATTAAAATATTTAGACATGCGCTTGAATACAGTTTCAATAACAATAAAAATACAATAGATATTAACATATTTCATACATGAAAGGTTACAGTAACACAAGTTAGACGATCACAATATGGTTAGACTATACAACCAGATAAGCTAAGGCCGGCAGCTCACGTAAGCTAAGCTAATAGATATTCTTAGTAAGACACTCGAGATGATGAGGATGAGATTAGAAATGGACTACATGTATATAAATTCGTAGAAATGTTGTTAATTTATAAAATTTTGAGTTCAAAGACATGGATGAAGATTTATTAGGAGAAGTCGAAGTCTCATATTTTGAAACCAAATGAGACTGATCGCTTAAAGAACAGCACCTGGGCTTTCCATTGATAAAATTCATATGTTGGAATAATTTACGAAGAGTAGGAAAGACTAGAGATGTCCAAGAAGAGAATCATGTATTAGAAACGGATAAAACAGAAGGACATCTCAAGAAAGTAGAAAAAGAAGTTAATTTGGAAATCGTTGGTCTATTTAAAGAAATACCAACGTGATTGGACATAGGTGATGAAGTGTGAGCTGCGGCTTCATGACAATGTATATAAAATTGTACAATTGAAAAAGCTTCCACAATAAATTCTACTTAGTTAGGTAATAAGGTAAGATTTGAAAAATATTATGAACTAGGAATGTGAATGCATCGTCATAATTTGAAGAATTTTCTAAAAGACTTTGAGTACACTAATTCATTTACAACCTATACATTTAATGTTGTTAGTTTCTTCAATACTTAAATATCATTTTCATCATATATAGTAAATGCAATATGTCATGGCAGTTTAGAAACTTAACTTTCCATATATCTCTTTTCTTCTATCAAACATTTTAGTCACTTTGGGGTACCATTAGCAAGATTAAACGTTTCACTAGCTACATCACCTTCTTCATCATCTGACGTATCATTCATCCACATTCATAGTTCACAAATCGATTTAATTTCTATAAATTCAAGAGCAGCAGATCATTCTATAAAACAATGCGATGGCACTTTCAATCTTTCATTTTCGCCTAGTTATCACAAGGGGTCAACTATAGGGTCTATCCTTATTTTAAACATTTTTATTTATAGGCACTGCAGCCCTGGTTTTACGTATTTATATATAAAAACAATAATTATTGGTTAGTATACAGTCTAAGTTTGACTTTAGTATATATGAATGTTTGTTTGTTCATCCACTGTCCTGTCTGTGGATGTTGTTTATCTCCGAGCTGACATACCGTCCTGCAATTATATTTATTTTAATTAGTCACTTGAACCACACATTATGTCTCAGTTTCGAGTGGGTTATCAGTGGGTTAATAATGCATGCAAGTGATCTAATAATTAAACATCTCATTTTGCTCCAGTTGGCAAAATTGCATGCCCTTTTTGCGAATGCATTAAGCGATATATTACTGCAAACTTGTGAATCATACAAGTGAACAGGTTAGTTACAAGCATGCATTTATTATTAGTAAACATATAATGTTAGTTCCTGAATATCTGTGTACAATAGTGCAAGAACAGATTGAGTTACACTTGATGTGACTATTTACAATGTTTATTTATTGGGTAAGCATTATGTATGCAGCTGGGTGAATGACTTTTTACAATGTTTTTACTGTTTTTATGTGTATCTGTATCACTTCAGGACATAATAACTAACTTATAAACCTAAGACTGAACCTGAACCCCAAGCAAGTGCAAGCCCGACAGATGCAGTTGATAAATAGGCAGGTAGAGAACTAGAGAAGGAATGTTTGTGAAGTTATTTTACCTTGAAGATGTTGGTGAGTTCGTCGAGCAGGGTCTCATGGCGGAAGGAGATGCGAATGTCTGGTACGTTGGTGCGCGTGATGTCGTTGCCGGCCACTCCCTCCTTCATGTAGTTGGGGCCAAGCCAGTACTGCTTCATCTGTTAAGAGATTTAAGTTGAGTAGGACCTAAAATAGTACCTTGAGGAAACCCACAGCTACTACCTACTTAGCTAACTTAAAATTCTACTTACCTCATGCGGGAACCCGGACATGAGCACGGAGTTCCTGGCGAGCTCACACATGTCGCAGGAGCTGAGCTTCCACACCTGCGCCGCGATACTGTACTCCTCCATCAGCGGCTCCTGGAGACCGGGAAATGTGGTTTCAGATAAATAATTCCAGTTCAACTGTTCAGAAACTAATCAAATCTAGACCTAGCTCAAACGCATACTCGTGTCTTTTTAATTTCATTCAGTAAAATTAAAAAGCATTTTTACCTTAGTGAAGTGGAACTGCAACGGGTCATCAGTACTGAGCGTGATGCAGAGCCCTCGAGCCAGGAACTCCGGCAGAGGGTTGCGGTGGTAGTTCAGGAACAACGAGTTGTTACTGAGCGGAGACATGGCGATGTAGATCTGGGCCAGGTAGTACAGGTACTGGAGGACTGGGACCTGGGTAGAATTAATGGATCAAAGTTAACAAAATGTTGAAATTATTTACAACAGAGATATTGTTCATGGTCGCACACATAGTAATCAGTCCTCTTGTGGTGTGGTAAGGGTTAACTATAGGACTACATATTTAACAGACCGGTCAGCAGCCTTTAAACCCAGAACCATACAAACTGCTATCGTCACACCGCGTGCCCAGCGTGAAGATTAAATAGTAAATTTCTCTTTTGTAGTGGAGGCCTGGAGGAAGAGTTCAGTATGGACTGTTGATGTTGATTTTTTTTTTATATATTTGATGTGGCGACGTTTGACCACTATCTCGCATGGTAGTAAGCGCTGATGCGGTCTACGATGGAGCACGTCGTCCCATAAGCAACCTATTCACTCGGGCCTTGAAGACACCCAGGTTATACCCTTTAGGAAATAAAGACTCTGGCAAAGAATTCCACTCTTTAGCAGTACACACAAGGATGCTTGAAGCGAAGCGCTTCGTGCTGATGATTATAGAGCGAAGGTCTCAAAATAAAAATAAAATAGGTGAAGTTGTAAATCATCTAAGATTACCTTCCTAAGCAGCAGTCCGTGGGAGATGTTCTCAGCGAGCAGGAAGCCGCAGACGAGATGCTGCACGGGACCTGCCTCACCGCAGTGAGGGCGTAGCACGAACGTGTTCAAACCTTGCTCCCTGATGACGGAGAAACCAATTTTAGTAAACGCATAAGTTGAGCTAGCAGACATGCAGTAAATAACATACAGGTTAGAAATAATTATAAAAGACTCTAAATTCGAGCGCAACGCAATATCAAAGCACTCTCAACCTCCAATAGAATTCGAACTTGTTTTATTTCCATTAAAAAAACATTGAGTAATGGTTCCGAAAATAGAACCAACACTGTTTTATTAAGTAGGTAAGATCTGCGTCTCCTTCATCTTAACTTTAATGAAAGGAACCTTTTAATATTGTCTCAATCGGCTTTAAAAACGAAATGGATGTGCAACAATATACTTACTTCCTGAAGTGGTTGAGCACAGTCATGTTGGCGTACATATAGTAGAGATAGTACGCGTACGGCGGGTTCTCCTCATCATCATACTCCTCGGGACTCTTGGCGTCAGCGTCCAGCATTGGGTTCTCTGGCTTGGACTCGTCGTCCACGCTGTCGAAGCCCACTACGTGCTACAAGGTACAGATTAATTATTAGCTTTATATATTTTATTTATTGGATAATTTCTAGAAATTTTAACGATAGATGCTGTATGCTTAAAATGAGGATCTTGGAAATTGGAATTTCTTTTAAATTGTTTGGGCATTAATTTGAAATTTATTACGCAGGAGTCAGCATTAAAACCATCAAAGGCAGAAAATATGAGTAAGTTAGTTTATTGTTAATAAAAACTCACAGTAAGAAACTTGTGCAGTTCGTAGTTACTGTTGGGGTCCCTGGTGACCTCGAACAGCGGCTGGAAGATGTTGCTCAGGAACTCTTGGAAGTTCGTCATGATCTTGTTCGACTTGAAGATATCGCTGGAATACATAACATTATGTTTAGGACACAGTGGAAGACATAGTTAGCAATCATGAATTTCGTTCTGATTCAAGACATTTCTTTGTTGCGTCATGTGGTGATGGCAGAGAAGAACACATTCATTGGAACCCTTGCTTCTCGAAGGTATCGTGAGTGCCGACTACTGACTACACATTGAACACAGATTGGGCAGCAGCGCTCACTAATGAACCTGATCTTTTTAAACTGGTATCTGTAATCAGCTCGGCAAGCGTGAATATTGTGTCAAACCCTGTTTTCGAGAGAAACCCCGATCCAGCAATGGTATAAAAGAAAATCATTGACATTTTAACCGAAAAGAAACTCTGGTATTTTTTTTTTTATATTAGATGGGACTGACGTTTAACCACTATCTCGACTGGTATATATAAGTGGACACTAAATAAAGAACAAAATAAGTTACTAACTATAGTCGCGGTATCTGTATGAGCCAGCGCACGTTGTCGGAGTAGACGTTGTACTGAATGGCCCACTTGGCCAGCTTGGCCCACTCGCCCGGACTCTTGCCGTAGATCGACAGACGCAGCTCCGCGTTCTGGTACTTGGACTCTTCGAGATCTGATGCTACTTCCTGGAGAAGGGGAAATAGTGTTAAATCCAATAATTCTACACAATTAAAGACTGCAAAAACTTGCAAGATTTCATCTGATCTTTGTAGTACCGTCTAGTAGTTCCTAAACTTTTTGCTAAGCTAAGCTTCAGATAGACATACGTATATTGATGAACAGAGCGAAAGAATAAAAAAAGAGTAAAGTCTTTTACAGACACCTCTAAAGTAATTAAATGAAAAAGGTTTCTGCAGTCTTAATAACAGAAGATTTTACGAAGTCAGGGACCCTTACCTTGATGATCCTAGCGAAGTACTTCCCGTTCATGTAGTTGTCAGTCTTGAGAAAGACCTCGCGCAGTCTGCTCTCACCGATGGGGTTGTACTTGGCGTTGAACTTGTCGAAGCGGTGGAACGTGTTGCGGTCCTGCAGTATTAAATGATGATGTTATATATTTTTGCATAAGTAATCAATTTCAAAAATGTAGCAATTTTTACTACAATGCAGGTACTTTTAAACACTGCAATAAGTGAATAGCAAGATCTTTAAGATACCATATTTATTAACAAAGGGCATGTTATTAGGAATAGGGAATTTGTCTTGAACAAAATCAACCGCAAAAATCATAATTTTGCTTTAAAAGCTCAAGTACTTACGGCATGCACGTCCAACATGTCCACAGTGAGGTCGTAGGTGCTGAGGTTCATAGACTGGAACACTGACTTCAGCGTCATCGGGGTGCCCTTGTGGAGGGTCACCACCTGGAAACGATCACAAATTAATAAAATGTAGAATAGGGTGGTAGACAGTGTATGAAAATTAAAAATGTATTTAGTCCGTAATACATATTTTTTATTTTGTCCTCTATGAAATCAATATTTAGATAAAATGGAGTTAAGTTTAGGAGTGGGAGGTTGTTACGTCACGCTATCCTATAAAATGTAGTAAATCGTGACGTCACATGATATTTCAAATCAATATATCGTTGAAAGTATTTAATTTTGTAAGAAAAAAAAAATACGTGTCAAATATTTTAAACTAATCTACAAGAAGAAATCTACCATTAAAATAAAATTTAGGATAAACTGTACTACTCTATAGAAAACAACTTTTTTATTAAGGTTGCCAAAGCCGCTAAAGGCAGAGATGATCTGATTGGGCAGTATTCCTTTGTCATCTATACCGATAAACAAGACTTCAAACTATGCCATAAATACTGGATCCTGTTTTCAATAAAATACAAACCTCATCAGCATGGTTCTTCAGGGTCTTCTTGATGAAGCGCAGGAGATGTTTCTGGTTCATGCAGGATGCTGCGTGGATGTGAGTGTCCACTTTTCTGGAAGATAGAAGATAGACAATGATGTATTTTATGTCCCATTTGATGTTATTCTAGTCGCCCAAAGTCAAGGTTAATTTTTCTTTTTTTATCTTTGAAATATACGTTGCCCCACACTACGATTTTCTCCTGTGTCGTAGGTGCGTTTACAAACATACAAGTTCACATGCACATGACACACAGACCCGGAACAACAATTTGTGAATCACACAAAGAGTTGGTCCGTGCGGGAATCGAAACCGCTACACGTTGCGTCGCAGCCGGTTGGCCAGCCACCGCACGAGACGTGCGGCCACTGTTTTCACATTTCTCTATTAGTTTTGCATACGCTATTGTCGCTATTGTCTGATAAATATTATGATGATTGTGTCACCTAATGTTGTAGAAGTCCCGGTGAGGCACGGCCTTCTGCGAGGCGAGCTCTCGGAGCTCGTTGAGCAACACGTGCAGCTGGAACTTGGACGACAGGTACGACAGGCGACGGTAGCAGAACGATTTGCTAGGAAGAGGATAGATAAGATTTGTTATTCTGTTTTTTTCCGTACTATATAAACTTCGACTATTTTAGCTTTCAAATGTCTTGGGCTTCTGCACTTGGATTTTAATAAGTTTCGTTTTGCTATTTCAATGAAAAGTTCAGCTGTATTTGACAAAAAGAAGTTCTAGTTGTTGACAAAGACTCACAGTGGTCCATCGGACATCATGTTGCACATGGTGTTCTTGTCCTGTATGAACTGCTGCAGCGTGATGTACTCGTACGGCAGCCGCTCCTCCTGTCCGTTGGCGCCCTTCTTGTACAGGTTGAACACGCCCTTGTCCGGCTTGATCACGTAGTCCTTCGGCTCAGGGTTGGGGCACTCCCAAGGATCTTTGCCCGCCCTAAATGGTGGGTGGACAATATGATCTGGAAGTAAAAGACAATAATTTAAGTTAAAGTCGATGTATCTTAGGAAGAAGTAACAAAAACGGTAAATGACAACCAATTCTATACAAATGTACTCGAAAACATTAATTTAATTGGATACATGACTTGAAAGTTTCTTAGATTTATTTTATTACCAGCGATGTGTTTCTGCACATGCACGCTGGGCACGTAGGCGGGCGCGTTGGCGTCAGTGCTGCGCACGAAGCGCGCCGTGATGGTGGCATAGCTCTGCTGCGACATCTCCATGTAACGCTTGCGCATCTCCAGCGCCTGCACCAGGTACGAGGATGCTTGTTGGAGATCTTCTAGCGGGACCTGAAGGGCACATGTGGTTGTAGACCATGTTCATCATAAAAATACTAAATTCTACGTTGTTCTTTAATATTGTGCGTAGGTAATCATGTTTAACATGCATTTGATTTTTTTTCTTTCGGATGCGATTTAAACAAAGGTTTAATTGACGCGATGTTGACAGTTCATATAGACATCTTAAATTACATCTCTTTTTATAAATTTTCTAAAATTATCTTCTCGTCACTTACTCCAGAAGTATCCTCTCCACTGATGGCAACTCTTTGGAAGTGTGGCAGCACGAAGTCGGTCTCGTCATCATCAGCGGACCGCAGCCTCTCGTCGAACACAGCACCAGCTCCACCTGCCTCGCTGCCACCGAACGAACGTACTGACTGTCCGCATTCTGCTGCCCTGTAGACAGAGAGAAAAAAGTTGTAAATAAAAGTAATCGTCATCAACAGCCCACGACGAAGAGATCTTCTTTGGTATTGATCTATTGATACTATGACACATCACACACTATACAAACCTGGAAGAGATAATAAAGACTAAAGAGATTAAGTTTTAAGCACCTAGAAAGCCTTTTGTGAAAGTATGGCCCAGAAAGATTTGCTAGCACTATGCGCCTGTATCCTATACGGCTAGCAACAAAGAACATTACAAGAAAAGTATCAGCTGGTTTAGACAAAATATCTTTACTGGCACTGGTGTCATAAAGCCTTTGAATATCAGTCCTTATTTTGAGCCAAACTGAGGCAATGTATTTACTTTGATATCCATCAAAAGTCGACATAACAGTAGCTACAGGCATAATGATTGATTGCAAATAGATGAGACAATACGCCGCGCGCCGCAAACCGCTATTATGCCCACAGTAATTGTCCAAATACGCAAATATTAGTACAGACAGACATTACCATTTGGCATTCTGCTAATTACATTTGTGTTAGTTAATTACGGTTCTATTACGAGTATTAGGTAATTGAGTTCTGTAGGACGCTTCGTTTATTAGGTATCTAAAATAATAAACGGTAGTTAGTATCCCTATTGTCCAAAAGTATGTTATGACTATACCTATTTTTTCCGGTAGGGTGACATATTTGTAATCCATTCAATATGTAATACAATATAAAAATATTATAAAGATCGAAATTTGAATTTAGAACCGATTTAAGTTTATTTCATTCCAGTTCAACAAAATCGTTAATTCGTAATAGATAAGATTATCAAGTAGTGTAAGGATTGACGCCTGACCGGAATAAACCCGAGACACAGCGACCTGCGAAGCAGACAACAAAGATGGTGAGGACGATTTAATTGCATCGGATGCAGTTCCTTTAATCAACAGTCCTTTTGCGATATCTGAAGTGCAACATTCCAACAGCAGCCGTTTGATGATTTGATAACTAATTTTTTATTTGACACCCTCATTTAAAGGAAGCAGTGGGTGTCTCAGATGACAGCTAAGCTAATTCATTAGAGAAATAATTGTCGGACATCAGCCGTAATTTGATACCCGTCTATAAATTGTAGTTACGATATATGTGTATAGCACAGAAATAATAAATATATCTGTGGTGTATAGTCACTGAGATCGAGAAAAGGCAACGGTTCCTACTTAAGACTTTGACTGCCAATAAAAAACTGTTGAAGGTAAATCCTCCGCTAACGTCTGTCACCGGTGACCCCATGGCGTTAAGTAGTGCCCGTGCACTTAGCTTGGCTCGGTGACTTGCTAACGGTTCTGCATAGGCACCTTATGGAAGATGATCGTACTCTCAAAACCAAGTTTGGCTTCGCTAGTCGTCTTCGAGCTCATGCTAACCTAGACCTAGATGATAATTTTTCCTCTTTTAATAACAAGGTAACAATACAAAATTATAATCTATTTTTTTTATGGCATAAGCCGGTAAACGAGCAGACGGATCACCCGATGGTAAGCAATCGGCGCCGACCACGGACACCCGGAACACCAAAGGCGTTACAAGTGCGTTACACCGGCCTTTTTGAGGATTAAGAGTTTGAGGATCGTTCGGGATTCAGGGATTGGGGAGATTGGGGAAAGGGAGTCGAGACTCACTCACACGACGAAACACAACGCAAGCGTTGCTTCACGTCGGTTTTCTGCTCGGCCGTGGTATCACTCCGGTCGATCCGTCCCATTCGTGCCGAAGCATGGCTCTCCCACACTTATTTTGCTTTAATGAGTTGCTTATCACAATTATTCGATTAAAAAGAAATATAAATTAAATAGGTCTGTTAGTAGGAACTTTGCGTGAATCATCCGTTTCATTGTATGCTAAAGAAATAAAGAATAGGCTAAGAAACGAACAACAAAAGGATAAACAAAGTACCTGGTACAGAGTAGTTAGAAATAGATTGAACCCTACCGAAAATTGTAAGCAACAACGGAAAACATAATTATGAGTTTGTAAGAAATTATGTTAGCTCTTACAATAGCTCTAAATTTTTCCATAACTTAAAAAAATCTGAGTTTTCGTAAACTGAAAATAAATGTTGCTATTTCAACACCGGATGTTTCAATACAACACTCGCGCTGCGAATTAGATTTCGAAGCCAACGAATTATGCAAAACTTCGGATATCCGTTTTCCAAGAGCCCTCGTATTCGCGAAACTAATTTAAATCTCCGCCCTTTCAGTCAGCTCTATAAAAAGTTCACTTTACCTACCTTGAATTTCTGATCGATGTCCATTTTTGGCATTCAATTTTGCTTCCAAACATAATAAAACTAACACCACAGATAATTTAAACACAACCGACACAGAACAAAAAAAAAACAAGTCACATCTCCCGCCAAAAGTGACAAGTTTTTGAATAAGCCAGGGGATGGCAATGGAACGGCCGCGTTCAGCCAGCGACACGCGTTGCAATGCAATCAAATTACAAATGCCGCGGCATCCCTCACGGTAAGGGTTACTGTCGCTTCAAGGTTAATCCAATTACTCCCACTAATAATATCGAGTCTCAGCGGCGTATCGTACTCGTGTAAACGTGGCGGCCGCAAAAAGAGGTTTATAGATGGTTTAAAGAGGAGCTTAGGCTCCGAGAATATTTATAGACTGGAGGTGGCAAGACTTACCACTAATACCTCTTGAACACAATGGCGGCAGTTAACACCGCTCTTATACGGCCAGAGGAACGTTTACGTGACATATAAACGTGATGGCAAACGCGAAGATGATGATGGTATCAAAGAGATAACTCAGGTTTGATTGAGTAGATTACGACACGCAATTATTGGTTATTGCGTTAGGCACATTAGGTGACCTAGTAATCTAATGGCTAGGCAAACATTATCAAAGCTTAACTATTCTAGGCTGCTAGGATCTAAGATCAAAGGCGCGATCGCAGCCTAAGTGCATCTTCAACAGCTTTATCAAGCAAACATTATTTGACACACTACACCAACGTGCAACACGTGTCTGCAGTTTGCTGTGGAATATGATAGCCAACGGACTGTCCTAAAACATAGCTACACGCAATCTATTACATCTGTTTAATCTAGAGCAGACTATACTAATAAAAGTCATGAGAAGGCGAGGCAATGTTTACGACTAGATATCAATTGAGGCGAGACAGTGGGCCTACAGCGATTAACATAACTGCTTATTGTAAGGTAATCACGTTTCGGTCTGTGTATACTTCGCTCGGTCCCTATTGTCGTACAAGTCGCAGAAAATGAAACTGACCAAAAACTTTATAAGACTTTTGACTTCATTACGTCGGTAACAGATATACAGGTGTCTGATTTCGAGGATAACCAGTTGTACCTCTGTAGTTTTTTCAAAAATGAATATATAACTACCTAATATTTTTTCTTTATTAATGTTTTTTTATTCAAAAAACACAAAGTTTGTATTAAAAAATATATCCATTTTAAAAATCACTTCCCTAACTTTATTACATAAAAAACATTGTTACTATCCACTGTAATTGCGCAAATAAGATAACGCGAGGTCATAGCTCAAGCTTCGAAATTCATTTATTTCATAAATCTGATGTAATGCGAACACCATTTTCAAAAACTTAACAATATGGCGTCTGAGGTTTGATAAGAACTTATAAATAAATAGTTTATTGACTCTTCTGAGTGAAAATTAAAGTGAAAAGTAACTTAAAAATATTGAGCCTCTTATATAAGCTGTAACAGGCGCAAATCCAGACTGAATTAAAATAGTTCATCACCATCAGAATCAGCCACAAGCTGTCCATTACGCACTTAAAATGAGCCTCCCACAAATACTCTGTTAGTTATTCTGTTATTTGTATGATGCGTCAGGTATGTCTTCACATTATTCTCACATGTGTGTACAATATTGGAATATGTATCAGAGCAGTGTAAAACAGACTTTTTTTTTATAAGAGAATATAATGAATGAATGGAGTTTCTTGCTCGTTCTTCTCCTCTCGAATCGACATTTTGGAACGAGCGCCTAGCTTCACTAACGGACAGACTGACAGCCTATTATTTATTTCATATTTGTTGACGTTTCAAAAGTACCAAATTATGGTTTATTTGAAATAAATGCTTTTGAGTTTGAGTTTGAATACAACTACATCGACTGGTTCGCACTTAGACATCCATCTAGCGCCTCGTGTTCTAAAAGTTACAACAATACGAGACAGAACAAACAAAAACAATTGAATAATGATTGAATAGAATGTTTGGAACCAAACCGGAGCCGTGTCTAAAATGTATCACGTGGCACATACGGCCCTGACTCGGTCGAAGGCCACGCAAATTGAATTACACAAATACAGGCCCTGTAACTATATTTTAAGTAAGCCATTCTGCTTTGAAACTTTGAAGAAAGGTGCTTTTCACGATGTCTAGCTTTTAACTGGGTTCAGTTGAATTTGAATTAAATATGTGGGTTTTCTGGTTCTGATCGAGCCCTGGGGTCTTCGAGAGTATTATTGTCCTCTTTAATTTGTTGCAAGTCCAAATTCGACAAAACATGACATATAACATCACGCCTTTAATCCCCGAAGGGGTAGGCAGATTTGCACATTACGGCACTTAATGCCACTGTACCACTTTTCACTATTTTATATTATGAGTCCCATGTAATAGGGAGTGAGCCTATTGCCATATACCGGGCACAATTCCAGACTCCGTGCGACCAAGAGAATTTTTAACAAACCCATTATTACTTTGCCCGCCCCGGAAATCGAACCCGAGACCCTTCGGCAGTCGCACTTGTCACCACATGGCCAACGATGCAAGTCCGATCTTTCTTACATGAAACTGTCTGTCCCTTTCGACTGCCGCCTCATCGGAATAGGAGAGAGAGGGATTTACCTACGTTACTCGCACACATTAAACGTACCAACCTATTTATCTACTACGCGGCTAGAAACTATATAAGTTATAAGTTAGACGTGAAGATCAATAGCGATACTAAAACTTCACAATGAAAAAGAACTTCATTCTTTACCTAATATCATTAGCCAAAAAAAAAATGTAGGGACTATTGGTGTGATATTGTAGTTACATAGATTTTTATTGAAAAATTGATAGTTTGGCTGTACGTCTACACGTCCAAACTATCTGGAAGTGGAAATAAACAGCTCCTAGTAATAAGTGGCGTCTCTCAACGGCGGGCACTCCAATGCAGCGCGCTGAAGTAAACAGTTACTCGACACTAAGCCGCCTCGCCTTCGACTCAACACCTCTATTTACTGCAGACTCGACTAATGGAACTTGATTAAGTTTGTATTGCCATTTACTATCGAGTAAGAAACCCTTTGATACTTTACGTATTTTTACAAGGGTCGTGTAGGACTAATGATCGTTGTCACATATAGGAGACTGGCGGGCATTACGCCAATATTCGTTATTTAAAACTTAATACAATTAATGAATTTTGAAGAAAAAACGTTCTAAAATTGACAGAATCGGTGAACAAATAAAAAAAAACAAACATTCGAACATGGAACCTCCTCCATTTTTTCAAGGCCAGGGAATGGACCAGAGACTTGTATGAGACGTCTTTCGATTGGTAGATATGATTTTCTTGACGTCAAGTATTCTGGGAATCATGATATGTCTAAAATATGATTTATTATACGCTTTATTCATGTTATATGTAAATGGAGGTGAACAATGACCGATACAAAGTTGATATAATCAATCAATAACTTTGATGGCGCTATTTGTGTTCTCCTTTTGATGAAATAGCTGTTTATTGAAAATCTAAAAATATTCTTACCAATTTTAGCTCATATCTACATCAGATAGTCTGTTTCTTTTAACACATTCGAGAGAAATACCTTGCGGGCATTGATTTCGAAACAAGTGATAAGTTTATGTGTAAAAACGATGGTACTTTGTATGCTACCACTAATTATTCTGCTAAGCTATTCTGTAACATGTCAATTCGAACTTTCAAAGTGAGTTCGATCGCATTCTCGCACGTCATTCTCGGTCGACATTATTTCCATAACCAATGACATGGCGGACTGCGCTCGAGTTATCTTCGATCTTACAAATTAAAATGTACATTAAAGGTACCTAGCAGATCTAGTCTCGATACTAAGTACTCTTTGCGGAGAGTACGTCACGACATAAAAGAAAACTCCTATATTCATGGGGTTTCCTAACCATCATATTGTTTTTAGTGACTGTGTGGCGACTGGCGACACATGTCAAAGACTATCGATGGAAGCAAATCAATGGATGACGTCACAAAAATCCTACATTGCACATGTGAAATTTACATGCGAATTAACATGGATAGACAATCCCAACGAACATCTGTTGGGCAGAAAGCCCACCAGGCACGATCACCTCGCCTGGCCGGAGGATCCTCCTTTTCCGATCTTGGGGAACTATATACTCTCTGTTTCCTAAAACTGCAACAGTCTACTCATAAAAAGAACTTGACTTACTTGACATTCAACTGCCTCTGTATGAGCAGCTTCTTCTCAATCTGCTCTATGGGGAACTGTGGCACTTCGTACGGGGCTGACAGCTCATTGGGGAGCTCCCGGGGCGCCTCCGCACCCACTGCACTCGTGGGGCTCTCGCTCCCTGGGAACAATAAAGAAGAATGTTGTTAACTACGAATTTCTTACTGACGTGGTACCTAAGCTAAGTTCTTATTGTACCTACTGTTAGATGTCACTTATAGGTTGGTGAAAACCAGAATGTCATTAAATATAACCTATCTTAACTTAAGGGTTCCTTAAAATTTAGAAGAGGTTGGGAAAATCGGCCATAAGAGAGTTACACGAAGCTTATTTGTAACGAATTTCTAGATTTATAAGCTACTTATAGTGGTGTTTTGACCTTACAACTCTTTTTGTTAAAACCTAGAACACACCAGGGCCTTTAGCCAAACGCCACTTTAGCGCTTGTCTACAGAGAGAGTAGAAACCAAAATGTATGGGGATGACACTGACAAGTGTCAAAATTTACGTCAATTCCATATAATTTGGTTTTCTATTCTACATGTAGACAAGCGCTAAATGGCATTTGGCTACAGCTGCAGGATACAAATGTCCTGCGACACGTGTCACCAACGACGTCGGGTGAAGTATAACGACGTTGCCCGATTTTTCGACATTTCGACATGTCTGGCAACATCAATATGTCATTGTGGACATAAGTTCATAGGTTGCGCGTTGTCACCGTATATGTCAGACGACATCGGCTGGCTGTGCTCGATGGTTCGCCGATACATGTCGTGGAACATTTGTTGTAACTCGGTGTTAATCTACACTTGTTCGAAGAATCTCTTCTAAAGTTTTAATCCATCTTGCAAAACTTTTACAAGTGCTTGCTGTAAACATCGTTAAAGTAAGCCTCAAAAATATAAACATTATTGATGAAATTAATGAACTTACTTCGTTACTAAGTTAAATAAATTTAACAAACTCTGTGTACTAGTTTACGAAGATGGAGCACCAACTCCTCGTCAATTTTAATATAATCAATGGCGTCTATTTTAAAAACTGCGCGAAGAGAAAACTCATTAAAAAGCACTTTAACAGGATTATTCGAAGGAGGAATAATGCAATATTAACTCGTCGAGTACCGGTTTTGTAGACACAATTATAGAACAATAGGTTGCGGTCACCGGTGACCGCTTGGTGTTTGACAGTTTAAACAGAAGTCGATACTAAAGTTATAAACGGGAACTTATTGGTACATAAATAAAATGGCGGGTCGTGCCAAAATCAACGGGCGGAAGAATTTTATTGAGTCACTGCGCGTACACCAAGAGCAGTTAGTTTCTTAGATTGTGATAAAAACCGATTCCAGGATCTTATTGATCTATTTATAGATAATTTTCAGACTAGTTTTTTTTATTTGAACAGAAGTTAACATAACACAACATCACGCCGTTTTATCCCCGAAGGGAAGGGGTAGGCAGAGGTGCATACATCACGGCACTTAATGCCACTGTACAATGTAACACCCACTTTTCATGAGTCCCATGTAATAAGGGGTGAGCCTATTGCCATATACCGGGCACAATTCCAGACGCCGACTACTACTGAGATTTATTTTAAAAACCCAGTAATACTTTGCCCGACCTGGGAATCGAACCCAAGACCCCTTGTCCGGCAATCGCACTTGCGACCACTCGGCCAACGAGGCAGTCAATAGAAGTTAACTTCAAGCATAAAAGTATCCATCCAGATGCATGGCATGACAGATTCTTACAAAGAAAACCAAGATGGAACTATTCATCTCTCTCTTATCTCGTTATATGTACCTACTCTTTTAACCGAACACAAATTTGTTTTTCTGTACAGGGATCCTATAAGCTAACTTAAATAAGATAAAATGCTTATAGGATAGCTATTAAATGTATATACAGTAAGTCAAAAGAAAGCATTGAATTATCCTGATTTTTATCCTCCACTAAATCTGTTGTTATTGGCTTTTAAATGGACATAACGACTGTCATATTCAAATAATACGATGCGACAGAGGTCTTTACGGCTTTCTGACCTGACCCCTTCAGACTGACTTCGGCTACCGTAGCTTAATCTGCCAATAAGCCGTACGACCCTTATAGCCAAAACCTTCTCACTAGAATCCAAAATAATTTGTAACATCTAACCGTAATAAGTAGTTCGGTTGAACCCCGATTATTGGGACTCTTAAAGAATTTTAACCATGAAACTATCAGTCAAACTTTATATAAACACAACCTTATTGTTTGGTGATAAAGTCGAAATTATCATTTGGTAGGGATAGTTTTATGTGCTGGCTTCACGTTCTTAAAGGTAACTGTAATAAATAAGAGCATCCTAATAGTAAGCTTATGTCTGATCCTTTACCTTCGCAGAATCAATACATTGAAGGAGATGAAATTTTATAAGACCTCGTCTGTCGTGCTCGGAGACTAGTCACTTTAATGAAGCCAATGTCGTCCTATTACCAGTTACAAGTTGTGTCCTTCACTTACAAACTGTGTACTTGTATTAATAAGTCATGTTTAGCTTTCTACAAGTAGACATAAATAGATATACTTACAAAGTTACAAAGTCTACAAGATACTATCGCCCTAGAAGTTTCAGTTTCTATTCCTGAATCTGACAAAGTAGATAAGATAATAATGGCCTATATACTAATGGAACTGTTAACATAACTCACAAAACGTAATACTTTGTATAGGTGTTATGTATGTGCACTGAACATCCCTTCAAGGATGAAAGGCAAAAAAGTGTTCTTTAAAGTTGTATCGAAACATTACACCATGTAATGGATTCAACTTTAAAAATTCGCTTTAATGTTTCTAAAGCTGTAAGTTGACACGTCTGTGCTGATGTTTACAAGACAGGGGTCATGAACCCGGTCCGGATCGATGACGGCCAATAATTGACCAACCTTTGTTCATTCTCAGCTAAATTGGATAGGAACCTAGTGTTTGGTGGGCTGAGGGAAATCACGGCCGCGTTAATTACTCGATTAGGTTAATGAAAATTGATGCTTATTTGTAATAGCATAAGGTGTTTTTTACGCTAAATGATGACGGTTTGGAGGTGCTAAGTAGCAGTTGATTTATTTGTATGTCGTAATAACGCAGTATGAACAGATCAAATTAATTAATTCTGTTGCGTTTCATTACAAATAGACTAAATCCTTAAATAAATCTTTAGATAGGTAAGGAACGTGTGATAATTCAACTTGTTTCTCTAGGAACAACACTCCATGCCATGGTGCGGATCGAGGGGGCCTGGAATGCCGTCTCCTACTTACTACTTCTGCGAAGCAGTCATGCTAGCCAAGGAGGAGGCGGCACGCGAAGGGGAACGTATCACCTCACGCCCCAGCAGTCACGGGAGACACTTCGGGTGTCGGAGATCGCTTGATGATCTCCTGCCACGGTAAGTGCGGGTCTGCAGACGGCGTGCATGGGTAGCTCGCCGCCCGACCAGAACCAGACGCGTGCGTACGGTGCGTCGCGTTCCGCGCGCGCCTCAAAGAGCCATCAGACAGAATGCACTAAATGCATTAAATTTACAACACCAAATGTTGGACATGTTAAAACCAGCGTGCTCATTAAGGGTGAGGAGTTGAGCCCTGTAGATTCTTCTGTCTTTTTAGGTATAACCCTAGACGCTAAGCTCCAGTGGGCTCCACATATAGATAAGTTGTCGAAAAGGCTCAGTTCTGCAGCATATGCCGTTAAAAAAATTAGAAAGTTAACCAATGTAGATACAGCGCGATTAGTATACTTTAGTTATTTTCATAGTGTCATGTCATATGGTATTCTCCTATGGGGGAATGCTGCTGACATTCAATCTATCTTTGTTCTGCAGAAGAGGGCCATTCGATCAATTTATAATCTTAGTCCGAGGTACTCTCTCAGGGAACTATTTAAAGAAATTAATATAATGACCGTTGCCTCTCAATACATTTATGAAAATGTAGTATATGCTCATAAAAACAAAAATTTATTTAAAAAGCATAGTGATATACATAATATCAACACGAGAAATAAAGACAAATATGTTGTTCCCACTACTAGACTAAAGAAAATAAGTGGTTCGTTTAGATGTCAGAGTATACGCTTTTACAATAAAATTCCCAGCCATATCCAAAATCTGAGTCTAAATAAATTTAAAAATGCCATTAAAGATAAATTTTATAGTAAAGCTTTTTATAAAATTAAAGACTACCTAGATGATAGTCTGGCTTGGGAATAGGCTGCTGTAACGTCCACACGGGTCATGTTGACATGTTTGTAACATATAGTTACATTTCTTGACATTGTTTTTCATACATTGTTCTAACTTGACATTTGCTTTTTCCTTTACAATTGTTAGTGCTAGGACCGTGCGAGACTTTGCCTCACCATTTCTTTTCTAATTACCCATATTCTGACAGTTTGAGTATTTGTGCGACCCACGCAAATGTTCTTTAGGTTGGTATTGTTCGTCGAATCAGTCAGCCTCACCTGTTAATTGAGCCGACTGTAAACCGACACATGCGTACTGCCTTCAGAACGGGTCCGCTCAAACTGTTGTGGTTCTTTCCTCAAAAGGCCACTACAGAAAGAACTTGCACGGTTCTCACACATAATCTTTTATACATATTGTCTGGACTTTAAAAGAGACAGACCTCTGAGTTTGTTTCGGCATTTCTTCTCAGAGTAGTCAGTTAGGAAATGTCGACCTCATCGTTCGCTTGATAAAAATGACGTGTAAAAGTGCTGCCTTGTAGCCTATTTGCAGAAATAAATTCACTTGTTTCACTTGTTTCACTTGTTTCACTTGTCACTTGTTTCACAGACCACCACAGATAGGGCCCAGTAGGCCTGATGCCGACACGGAGCCGCGAAAGGTCTAACAAGTTGCCGGGGCTCCGGATCGATGAGCAGGAGTAGGAACGGGGTGGTGCTTAGTAAGTAAGAGTCTGACACTCCCTCTCGCCTCACCCAAGGCGGGAGAAGACATTGGATGACTTTACCCCCTCAAAAAAAAAGAACAACAATCTAAGAACGCCAAATATTCCTCGAATAATGTATACATTACACATGTTTGTTTCCTACATAGGTATTTTTATAAACATAG